AGCCTTGTGATTGATTATTTTCATCCTGTCAAATAAGATCCCAGTCAATTACTTCAAAGGCCCTTTCTGTTAAAACTGTCTGTGAATCCCTTTTCATGAATTTAGCATTTCTCCTCTCTAGTTACGACACATGGCGTGTACCTCTTCTATCTAACATGCATTGTAGTTCTGGGTCATATGTGTCTAAGAGCAATGTTTCAGGAGAAAGGTCAAAACACAGATTCTCTGCTTTTCTTTTTCTATTTCTAAATCAATATGGTTAGTTGATGACTTTAAGAACTCTGATGAGGATTAAGGATAAGCATGACTTGATAGATTTGGTCCAGCTAAGCTGTATCTGAATGAAATTGGTTGGCGCAGGGGCCGGGGGGAAGGTGAAAGAAAAGAACCAGTGACTTGCTATTCGGAGGGTTGAAGGTTTCGATATCAGGTTTACTGATGTAAATGAGCATCTGTCATCATCCTTTTGCCTATTGTCATTTGTCTTTATTGAGGCTGTGAGTGCATTAAGCACAGCAAGCCTGCGTTTCTCCTTTCTAGTTATGACACATGGCGTGTACCTCTTCTATCTAACATGCATTGTAGTTCTGGGCCATATGTCCAGGAGTCTTTTCCATTCTGTCCCTAACAGCAATGTTTCAGGAGAAGGGAGACTCTCCTAATCATTCATAGTGAAAACTTGTCATTGAAGTAAAGTTTTTTTTTTCTCTCACATTAACATAGTCCTAAAGGACTCTCTGGTAGAATGTGGTAGGAGGGTATTCAAATTCTGGATCCTTGGTCCCAGCTGCCACTTTCTGTGTTGCCTTTGAGATGAGTAGCATTCCTGCTGAGGGACTCCAGTGCCTGGAGGTCACACACACTTCCTCCAAGACCATGCCTCCTTTAGCGCTGGCCTGACAGGGGCCAAATTTGTGTTTGTTTCTGGATTTGGTTTTGCTTTTTTTTTAAGTTAATGAACTTACACAATATAGGGTGGGAATTTTTCCTATCTTATTTCCAGCACCAGGTTAGTGCCTGGCACATAGTAGATACTTAATCAATACTTACTGAATTAATAAAGGAATGGCAGTATAAATGATTTCATTTATGTTTTTCATGGTGAAACAGTAATTCACTTTTATGAGCATCTCTTTCCTCCCACCTTCAGCAGGAACTTGCCCCGTCAGTCATCTGCTTTCTGTTGTCTCTTGTCAGTCTCTCTACTCTCCACTGGTTGCTCCCCTTCGGACTTACAAAAATGCTGATTTCACCACAACCTCATAAAACTCCCCTGGAACTTCACCTCCTTCTCGTGGTGCCTACGCACAGCTCACTTCCCCTTCCTGGTGGAAGTGCTCATTTTCTGCTTCCACTTCTGATTTTACCATTGATTACCCACCCACACGGCCCTTAGCTCTCCCCGCTCCACGGAAACAGCTTTGGCTAAGGTCAACAGAAGCCTCTCAGTAGCAAATCGTGACTCCTAAATCCTTGCCCTCTTTACTTTGACTCTGTGAAGAACACCCTCCTCCTCAGTGCCCTTTCCCTCCAGGTTTCCCTTTGCTTCTGTTCCTCCGTCTGCTCCCTTCCAGACTCAGTCTCTGGCTCCCCAGTGTCATGGTTCCCTTAATACAGTGTTCCTGGCTTTTCTTCTTGGTTCTCTTCCTACCCTACTCTCTCCCCCTAATTGATCTCATCTGATTCCATGCCTTCCACTCTCGCCTATGGGTCACCCACAGATTCTTTCCCACCAGGCTTACTTCTTTCCAGAGCGGCAGATGTGTCGGAACTCTCCCTTCGGCTGGCCCCTCTGCCTCCTCTTCCCACTCATTCTCCTGTGGTCACTGATTTGGTTGATAGTCCCCATTGTTACCCTAGAGTTTCTAATAATTCACCATCAAATATGGCGTTTGTTATAGTTTTCTGATACATTGTTTATAAGTTAGAGACATTTCTGTCTATTTCTAGTGAGATTTTTATATAAAGTGAATGTTTTTTTAACTGTTGATGTAGTAGGTTACATTTGATATATTTTTAAAAGTTGAATCGTCTTTGTATTCTTCCGATAAACCCTATTTGGTCACAATATATTATCCTTTTGAAGATAGACTGTAGGGTTCTATTTGGTAATATTTTACTAAGGTTTTTGCATCTGGCCAGGTGCGGTGGCTCAAGCCTGTAATCCCAGCACTTTGGGAGGCCGAGACGGGCGGATCACGAGGTCAGGAGATTGAGACCATCCTGGCTAACACGGTGAAACCCCGTCTCTACTAAAAAATACAAAAAACTAGCCGGGCGAGGTGGCGGGCGCCTGTAGTCCCAGCTACTCGGGAGGCTGAGGCAAGAGAATGGCCTAAACCAGGGAGGGGGAGCTTGCAGTGAGCCGAGATCCGGCCACTGCACCCCAGCCTGGGCGACAGAGCGAGACTGTCAAAAAAAAAAAAAAGAAAAGATTTTTGCATCATAAGTAAAGCCCACTTGGTTTATTTTTCTTGTGCCATCTTGTCCTTTCTTAGTGTCAAGGTTATGATAAAATTTCCCTCAGGAGTTATTTCACCACTACTATATCCACATTCCGACCCACAGAGATGGAGAAGGATGAAGGGAGGGCAACCAGCTTCCTTTTTAAGATTTCAGGAGAATCATAAACATCATCATTTTCAATGCCATCGAGTACATACCATATGCTTTGAGTATTTTTTATCTGTTGTTACATTTATTCCTCATGCCAGGGTGACAAGGTATCCAGCCCCCCTGCCACCCCCCACCTAAGTTTACAGGGAAGAGCAGGTGTTCAAAAGGAAGTTTGCCTGCCAATGCCTAAATACTTTAAAATTGTAAATCCAGCTCTCAAACTATCAAATATGTTCTATTCTCCTAACTTAACAAATATACTTTCACGACAACTGGAGGGCCAGACTCAAATTTAGAACTCTGGCCAGACACAATAGCTCACACCTGTAATCCCAGCAATTTGTAAGGCAGATGTGGGCAGATTGTTTGAGGCCAGAAGTTTGAGGCCAGCCTGGGCAACAGAACCAGACCCTCATCTCTACAAAAAATAAAACTTAGCCATTATGGTGGTATGCACCTTTAGTTCCAGCTACTTGGGAGGATTGCTTGAACCCAGGTATTCAAGCATGCAGGGAGCTATGATTGCACTACTGCACTCCAGACTGGGCTACATAACGTGACCCTGTGTCTTTAAAAAAAAAAAAAAAAATTAGAATTCTCATCACACTCATGGGTTGTTCTGTGCTACCTGAATGTGACTTCTTTGGAGAGTGTGCCACTGGTCTGCAATTCACCCCTACCTCTCACCACCCTCTGCTCTGTCATCACATGCCAGAGAGGCCTCATGTCTAATGTAGTACACTCTAACCTGCCCATCTGAGTTCCACCCACACCACTGTCCCACAGCCACCCCTTGGCAATATCTCAGACCAAGGGTACCTGGAAGGTATAGTCAGCCGTCAGGACAAAGCCAAAAAAGTCCATGCAGACTTTGGAAGCTGGCTCATGGCTACTGG